CGCCGCGCACCCGCGGACTCGCGCCGGCGCGTCCCCGCCCCCATTTCTCCTCCCTCCGCCCCTGGAGCGCGCCGCTGCGTGCACGGCCTTCCCCGCCTGTGGGGACCGGCAGGTTTGCTGCCTGGGTTGTTCTGCTTTGCCCGCGTATGTTGACTGACTTGTACGAGTGTTAGGGCAGGAGGCTCAGAAAGAACGCGGGTCCACCAGAGAGAGATTTGGGGTGCAGCACGTAGGAAGCGTGTAGGACCAGCAGGTGGTGCTGCTCCGAAATCCAGCTTTGAAACCCGAAGGCCCTTGGGCGCCCGGTTGAGTTTCGGTTTGAAGAGCCTTTAGCACAAGTACTGCTTGTCCTCTTTCAAGAAGAAAGAAAATTGCGTGAGGGGGTGGGGAAGTCCTCTAGGACGTTCCAATTTATTCACCGTCTGAGTGGTGGAGCACTTTAATCGAAAAAAAAAAATCTTACCACTTTCCTTTTGGACCCAATTTTCTTAACAGAATAGGGCATAAGAAAGCTGGAGGAAAAAATTAGTCACCATAAAAAATAAAAGAAATGGGTTATTTTAAATACAAGCGTGTGATTTTAAACATCTACATTGCAGTGCATTTTAGCATCTACATTGCCTTTTTCAGAACTGACTATATTTTCATACTTTGTGTAGTAAAGTGATAATGGAAGATCATGCCTTTTATTTTTAAAAGAGTATGTATTTCAACATATGACAGTAACTTGCGGTGGTGTTACATTTTGAGATTTCATTACCTTTCATTCAGGATTGAAAATTTTCAGTGTTCTTACGTGTATAGAGATGTGCACATTTTCTTTTCTTCTTCTGAAATCAATTTATTTCAGGGTCCTTATTCATACATATCAATATGTAAGCCAGTTTTTGAAGGTTGCCATCTAGTTCAATCATTTTTACTTACGTCAGTAATACTATTTTTCTTATGACTTTTTTAAGTGTAGAAATATTGAAGTGTATGTACTCCAGCTCTAAGCTTAGTTCCCTGTCTTTATCCACTTAGCCACCTAGTTTTACCTCACTTTCCTACACAACCCAGGAACAGACAATAGCAAAAATTCGATATGTACTAAGGATAATACTAACAGTGTGCCAGGCATTGATCTAAATGCTTTACACAAGCTCATTTAATCTTCACAATAAACTGTGAGGTAGGTGCTATTGTTACTCCCATTTTATAGAAACAGGCCCATGCCTGAGATTTGAATCCGGGCAGGGACAGTAAGACTTCAAACCTAGTTTGATTTTTCATTTTGTCAAGTAAGGAATAGATATAACAAGGTTAAATGACCTGTCCTTAAGGACCTTCTTGTTGGAGGTAGAGCTAGGATCAAAACACAGTTATGTTCAGATCCCTGTAGCGGTCAGCTACTAAAATCAAAACAAAACACAGGTATGTTTCCTGGTCCATAAATACACTTAATTTAGGAAAAGTTTCTTACAGTACTTTAATTGCTTCAAGTGCATATTTAGAATAGATTTTTTAAATCAATGTTATAAGTTGTATTCTGTCTGTCTATCTATATATCTTTCCCTCAGCATGCGAGATAGGAATGAATTAACAGGGATCCCACTAAAATGCCCTTCCAGGTTTCAACCTCTCTCTGAGCCACACCCACAATCTTTCTCATTTCTATAAATGGCTCCATTGTTCCTTACCCAACCCATCTTTTATTCCTCTCTTTCTCTTATGTCCCATATTCATTTTTTAAATAATCTGTTGGTGCTTCCTTCAAAATATATTCAGAATCTGGCTACTTACTGCTTTTGATACAATCTACATCATCTCTTGTTTGGATTATTATAGTAGCCTGGGAACTGATTTCCTTGCTTCTGTCCTTGTTTTCCTTTGAGTCTATTGTCAACACAGAAGCCAAAGTAAACCTTTTTAAAAGGAAATGGGGTGTTGGGAAAATAGGATAATTTAATCAGGCCCCCTTGCCTGCCCATCCGGTTGGGGGTGGTGTGGTGCATTCTTTGTAAATAAGTTGTGTGTGGATGGAGTTAGTGCACATGGCTGGCATTTTACTGCCTCAGGCATCCACCACGTGCAGACTTGCTCTTGAACCTATGGCTCCAAGGACCTTTTGGCTGGCTACCTAGCTCATGGACCTGCATGTGAGGGGTCTGGGGACCCAGTCTGGCATGTGAAGGGTTTGTGACCCAGTCTGCGAATGGGCTTGAGGGGTCTGTGAGCTCCAGACCCAGTCCTAGCTCTATAATTGGCCCAGTCGGCAGGATTACGGGCAGGTAAAAGAGACCAACATGAGGTCATCCCCCTTCTCTGTTCAAAGTCTCCCATGGCTTCCCAACTTAAAGTAGGAACCAAAGGCCTTACAGTGGCTTTAAGATCCTCCTCTCATTACCTCTCTGATCTCACAGACTGTTCATTCAGCTTTGGGTTCCTAGAAGACACTACACAAGTTCTCAACCTCATTGTCTTTGCAGTTGCTGTTACCTCTGCTTAAAACACTCTTCCTCATAATGGCTTACTCTCTGCCCCCTGACCCCCCCCCCCCAACACTGTGCTCAAACGTCATCTTTTTAGTCAGTTCTCTACTTGCCACCCTATTTTAAATTATGACATTGTCCATTCCCAATATTTCTTATTCACCCCTTTACTTCTTCTAATACTATCACAATATAACAGATGATTCATTTTACTTATTCATCTTTATTGTATTTCTCTCTTCATTAGAACATAAGACTCACGAAGGCAGGAATTTGTGTTCTATTTTGTATCCCAGTTGCGAGGAATAGTGCCTCACATATTTAAAGAGGCTCTCTGTAAATAAGAGGGTAATGAAAAGAGGGTAATTGAGCAATATATAAATGAATAAAAAGTGAACTTGATATTGGTCAGCGATTGTATATAAAGAGAAGAATTGAATGTATGGAATACTATACACCACACCACCACCAGCCACCTGAAAGAAAGATAGTGGTAAGTTTCTATCTCTGGATCATTCAAGACAGCCCCTCTCAACATTGTCAGAAGTATTTTTAAACTAATTGTTTTCCAGTAATTGTTAAATGCCCAAATCTTCAAATTACTTACTTAAAGAAATAAATCAAAGCCTAACCGATTCAAGATATCTCTGTAATAATGTTACTGTCACTAACATTCTATTTTGCTTCATTGAATCCTAGATAAAGGAGTTGCAGCAGACTGCTAGGAATGGCCCATTATTTATAATCCACTGTCGTTTATAAAATACTTTTCACAAATACCACACATCTCCTCTAGGCATCCACTCTTCCTTATACTATCCCCCCCAAACTCAAAATTGTCTGATGTTATTTACTTAAGTATAAAAATACTATTTTTGTTTACTTAATATCTGAAGACATCCATGAAAATGTGCATGAGAAAATTATATGTGTTACAGTGGAATATATGTTGAAAATCCTTGATGTAGTTAGACTAGTGCAGTGGTTTTCAAAGTGTTGTCTAGTGACCCCGGGGGTTCTTGTGACCTTTGCAGAGGTTCTGAGAGGGGGTAATTATTTTCAAAGTAATAGTAAGACTCTAGTTGCCCTGTTCACTTGCTCTTTCTCTCTCAAATGTACAGTAGAGTTTCCAGAGGTTACATGATGTATGTTGTAGCAATAGATTCAAGTCAGAAGCAGATATGAGAATTTGGCTGTATCTATTATACCAGGCATTAAAGAGATTTTCAAAAAGTAAAATAATGCTACTCTTCTCATTTAATTAGCTTTGTTTTGGAAAATATAGTTATTTTTCATAAAATATGTTATTTATGTACCTATGTTAACACTTGATGGGGCTATTAACTTTGAATGGATTAATAAATGTTTTAAACAGTTCTCAGTTTTAATTTTTAATTTGGTAAATGTAGATTATCACATACAAACAAAAGTTCTTTGGGGTCTTTTATAATTTTTAAAACTATAAAGGGACCAAAAAGTTTGAGAACACTGGCCTGGGACTATTTCATGTATCAAACCTAAGCAAGATTTCTTCCCACTTGCCAGCAATCATCTGATAGCTATGGACACAACTTTCTCAGATGTCTGGAAACAGATCAAACCAGATTCAGGAATGTACCAGTCATTATAAC